TCTCGAGAAGGCGTTATTTCCCTCGAAGCGTCGATCAAGAGCTTTGGTCGGGCAAAACAATGGAGCGTAGCACTGCGGTTGCTCCGCGAAGGACTTCGATTAGGTGTGCAACTTGGCCCAGGCCACTACATTGCGACTGCCAGCGCATGCAGAAAAGGCGGGCAATGGCAACACGCGCTTTCAGTGCTCAGTGACATGTGGAAGGCGAAGCTGGAGCCCGACGTCATCAGCTACAGCGCTGGGATCAGCGCGTGCGAGAAGGGCGAGCAGTGGCAGCTGGCGCTTGCGATGCTGAGCGAGATGTGGGAGGCCAAGCTGGAGCCCGACGTCATCTTCTCTACAATGCAGGGACCCGTGCGTGCGGGAAGTGTCCCTGTCTTGACGGGCTTAAAATGCCCCACAACGGCTCCGGGGACGCCCCAGAGGCGCTCACGCGGCCCCAGAGGCGCCCAGGACTGCCCCAGACACCCCCAAAACGGCCCAAGAGCGCTCCGGACCCCCGAAAACGGCCCCGACAAGGCCCAGGAGGCCTCCACGACGGCCCCAGAGACGCTCAAGAGGCGTCCCAGGATGGCCCCCACAGGTCCAAATCATTGTTTTTCCAACGAAAAACGTCCAATTTTAGCACACACTGCTTGTCGGGAGTATGGCGCAGAAGATGGGACAAGAGGCCCCCACGACCGCCCCAAGACGGCCCAAGAGGCCCCCCAGAGGCACGAAAACCGGCCCGCGAGAGCGTCCGGAGACCCAAGAGGCGCCCAACACGGCCCCCAGGCGGCCCCAAGAGGCTCCCAGGAGGCGCCCAGGACGGCCCCAGACACCCCCAAGACGGCCCAAGAGCGCTCCAAGAGAGCCCAAGACCGCCGAAAACACACCCAAGACGGCCCAGGAGGCGTCCACGACGGCCCCAGAGACGCCCAAGACGCGTCCAAGGATGGCCCCCAGAGGCGAAAATCATTGTTTTCCAAAAGAAAAACGCTCACTTGCAGCATGCGCTGCTTCATGGGAATATGGCGCAGAAGCTGGTTCCAGGTCACCACGACCGCCCCAAGACGGCCCAAGAGGCCCCCAAGACGCACGAAAACCGGCCCGAGAGGGCGTCAAGAGAGCCCAAGAGGCGCCCACAACGGCCCCAGGGTGACACCAAGAGGCTTCCAGGACGGCCCAAGGTATCCCATTTTTTCGGCACCCCTCACGGAGATCCTGGCCCCCGAGCGTCACAGATCGAGCCCTCCGCCCAAAGACGCGCCAAAGTGGCCATAAGAGGCTCCAAGCAGCGCCCAAGAGGCCCCCAACAAGGCCCAAAAGGCCTCCAAGAGCCTCCCACAGTCCTCCGAAGCATGCCCCCAGAGGCCAAAATCTGAAATTTTTCAATGGTGTTTGAAGGAGTTTTGCCTTCTCGCCTTCTCGGCTAGCCGACGCTCCAAGACGGCCGCAGAGACCCACAAGACCGCCCCAGGACGGCCCAACAGGCCTCCAAGCGCGTCCCCAGACGGCCCAGTGAGCCCCAAGATGGCCCAAGAGGCCCAAGCCAGGCCCAAGAGGGGGCCAAAGAACAGGGAAAAACCCTGGCATTCCGAGCCCTGGGCCCCCACACGCCCACACAAGGCCCCAAAAGCGCCCGAAGACGCCCCGAGGAGGGCCCCCAAACGGCCCGAGTGCCCCGGGATGGCTCCAGAGGCGCCCGAGACGGCTTAAGAGACACCCAAGACAACCCGAAGAGCGCCCAATAACGGCCCAAGATGGCCCCAAGACGGCCCCAAGATGGCCCCAGAGGCGCCCAAGACGGCCCGACAGGGCCCCAAGACGGCCCAAGAGGCACTCCAGATGGCCCAAGAGGGCCCCGAGAGACCCCCAGGAGGACGAAAAACGGCCCCCAAACGGCCCCCCAGAGGCCTTGAATGCTTCCTGTTGAGGAGCGTCGAACTTCCAGCGTCGTCTTGGGGACTTTTTGGACCCTCTGGGAGCCATGTCTAGGCTTTTTGGGGACGTTTGGGGGCGGTGCGCTCGAACGGTCGTTTCGTGTCCTCGCATTGAGGCCCGTCTTAGGGAGTTCGTGGGGCCCTCTTGGGCCGTCTTGGAAGACTCTTGGCCCGTCCCAGAGACTTCTTGGGCCGTCTCGGCGCCGCCTTCTTACAAACCTCTTAGGCCGCGCCCACCAGTCCCATTCTCACCGCACTACCAGATAAAATTATCCCGGCAAAGCAACCTAACAGCGATGTGTAGGAGCATATCTGGAAGCATTCCCCTTAAGATTCAGATGAGAATCCAGTTGTAGAATTCTGCTGTTCTCGCAGTCGTAGTCGCATTCGCGATGACAGTCGCAGTGGCAACGGCAGTCGCAGTCACAGCCTCAGCCTCAGCCTGCCTCAGCCTCAGCCTCAGCCTGCCTCAGCCTCAGCCTGCCTCAGCCTCAGCCTCAGCCTGCTTCAGCCTCAGCCTCAGTATGCCTTCAGCCTCGGCGTCAGCCTCAGCCTGCCTCAGCCTCAGCCTGCATCAGCCTCAGCCTCAGCCTCAGCCTGCCTCAGCATCAGCCTGCCTCAGCCTCAGCCTGCCTCTGCCTCAGCCTGCTTCAGCCTCAGCCTCAGTCTGCCTTCAGCCTCGGCCTCAGCCTCAGCCTGCCTCAGCCTCAGCCTGCCTCGGCCGCAGCATCAGCCTGCCTCAGCATTCAAAATGTGGCCCAGGAATGAAGTTCTGGGAACTAGAAGAACACGAAGTGGCCTACAGTTGGCTCCGGGCATTCAAAATCATGCCCAGGAATGGAGTTCTGGGAACTCGAAGAGCACGAAGTGGCCTACAGTTGGCTCCGGGCATCCAAAATGTGGCCCGGGAATGGAGTTCTGGGAAATCGAAGAGCACGAAGTGGCCTACAGTTGGCTCCGGGCATCCAAAATGTGGCCCGGGAATGGAGTTCTGGGAAGTCGAAGAGCACGAAGTGGCCTACAGTTGGCTCCGGGCATCCAAAATGTGGCCCGGGAATGGCGTTCTGGGAGGTCAAGGAGCACCAAGTGTGTGACTGTTGCATCCGGTTATTCAGAATGTGGCCTGGGAATGGGGTTCTGAGAGGTCGACGAGCACGAAGTGTGTGACTGTTGTGAAAAACGAGCCCGGCACAGGCCCGGCCGGCAACTCCCAACGCCTGCCCGGACCCCCCTGTGGAGTGATCTGTGAGCTCTTTTGAGTCAACTAGAAACCTATCAGTCTACGCTGTTAGGTAATTATCATTCGGCCCTAGCGAAGAGCAGATACAATTATCACGCCCCGCAGAAACTATTACGAACACAGAGCGCGGCGTGAGAAACAGCTACATCATGTCGTGCATGGATGTGCGTCCATGCATACCGCCTCCACCATCGCGTTCCTGCCTTCAGGCCTGCCTGCCTGCATCCCTCGCCTACCTCGCCCTCCAGCGGCCACGTCCTCCATCCATGCCGTCCCCTCCAACCTCCCCCCCCCGCGAGGCCCCCGAGACGCTCCACTTCCACGTCCACGCCATGGCGGGCAGATTCCGCGGCCGGAAGGCCGCGGGTCAGCCCTAGTCTCTACTACATTGCAGGGCCCAGTGCGTGCCAGAAGGGCGCAGGCCCCAATGCACCGAAACCGCCCCGGGCTGGCCCCGGGCCGCCCCGGGCCGCCCAGGCAGGCTCCAGGACATGTCGAGAGGGCCCCCAGAAGCCCCCAAGACGGCCCCGGAGAGCCCCGGCACGCTTACAGATGGGCCCAAGACGCCCGAGATTCGCCCCAGACGGCCCAAGAGGCGTCCAAGACGCCCGAAGAGGCCTCCCAAGAGGCCTCCCAAGAGGGCCCCGAGCGACAGAAATCGTCGATTTCTATTGTGTTTTTCTATGTTTTCGGCCTCCTCGCCTCTTCGGCTTCCCGACGCTCCAAGACGGCCCAAGAAGTCCCCCCGACCGCTCCAAGACGGCCGAAGAGGACCCCAAGAGAGCCCCAAGACGGGCCAGGAGGGCCCCAAGACGGTCCCAAGACGCCCCAGGACGGCCCCAGGACGGCCCAGGAGGCGCCCCAGACGGCCCAAGAGGCACCCAAGACGGCCCCAGGAGCGGCCCAAGACGGCCCAAGACAGCCCAAGAGGCACCGAGGCGGGCCTCAGGGGGCCCCGAGACGGCCCAAGAGGCACCCAAGACGGCCCGAGAGGGCCCTAAGAGCCCCCCCGGGAGGCCCAAAAGAAGGCCGAAGAGGCTCCGAAACGGCCCCCACGAAGCCTTCAGTGGCTTCAGAATTCCCTCCAGGAGCGGGGGAGCGGACGAGAGGCGACAGGCATATCGCAGGCAAAAACGCCCCAAGAGATCCCCAAACGGCCCCCACGAAGCCCTAAGTGGCCTCAGAATTGCTTCCAGGAGGGGGGGAGCGGACGAGAGGCGACCGGCATATCGAAGGCACAAAAGAACAATGTTGGACGCTCCGAGGGCCTTCGATGTTTCTCTGTTGGGGAGAGTCGTCGTAGGATCGACGATTGCCGACCGAGGGCATGGAGAATCCAGCGAAAGAGGAGAAGCAGGTGGGAAGAGGAGGAGGAGGAGGAGGCGGAGGAGGAGGAGGAGGAGGAGGAGGAGGAGGAAGCAGCAGGACCTCCGAGCAGCAGCAGCAGCTGATTGCCTTTCGGCCCTGCAGCCGCACCCCCCCGCGCTTGCCCAGAGACCCCTCGCCACGTCGAGCTGATGTCGTGGACGGAGTCCACAGGTCTGCCCTAGTCAGCTACAGCGCTGGGATCAGCGCGTGCGAGAAGGGCGAGCAGTGGCAGCGGGCGCTTGCGCTGCTGAGCGCGATGTGGGAGGTGAAGCTGGAGCCCAACGTCATCAGCTACAACGCTGGGATCAGCGCGTGCGAGAAGGGCGAGCAGTGGCAGCGGGCGCTTGCGCTGCTGAGCGCGATGTGGGAGGCTGGAGCCCAACGCATCAGCTGATCAGCCCGCGCTGCAGAGAGATTGGAGCACGGGCGCTGGGATCAGCGCGTGCGAGAAGGGCGAGCAGTGGCAGCGGCGCTTGCGCTGCTGAGCGAGATGTGGGAGGCGAAGCTGGAGCCCGACGTCATCAGCTACAGCGCTGGGATCAGCGCGTGCGAGAAGGGCGAGCAGTGGCAGCGGGCGCTTGCGCTGCTGAGCGAGATGTGGGAGGCGAAGCTGGAGCCCGACGTCATCAGCTACAACGCTGGGATCAGCGCGTGCGAGAAGGGCGAGCAGTGGCAGCGGGCGCTTGCGCTGTTGAGCGAGATGTGGGAGGCCAAGCTGGAGCCCAGCGTCATCAGCTACAACGCGGGATCAGCGCGTGGGGCGAGCAGTGGCAGGGCACTTGCGCTGCGAGCGAGATGCGGGAGGCGAAGCTGGAGCCCAACGTCATCAGTACAGCGCTGGGATCAGCGCGTGCGAGAAGGGCGAGCAGTGGCAGCGGGCGCTTGCGCTGCTGAGCGAGATGCGGGAGGCGAAGCTGGAGCCCAACGTCATCAGCTACAGCGCTGGGATCAGCGCGTGCGAGAAGGGCGGGCAGTGGCAGCGGGCGCTTGCGCTGCTGAGCGAGATGCGGGAGGCGAAGCTGGAGCCCGACGTCATCAGCTACAGCGCTGGGATCAGCGCGTGCGAGAAGGGCAAGCAGTGGCAGCCGGCGCTTGCGCTGCTGAGCGAGATGTGGGAGGCGAAGCTGGAGCCCAACGTCATCAGCTACAGCGCTGCGATCAGCGCGTGCGAGAAGGGCGAGCAGTGGCAGCGGGCGCTTGCGCTGTTGAGCGAGATGTGGGAGGCCAAGCTGGAGCCCAGCGTCATCAGCTACAACGCTGGGATCAGCGCGTGCAAGAAGGGCGAGCAGTGGCAGCGGGCACTTGCGCTGCTGAGCGAGATGCGGGAGGCGAAGCTGGAGCCCAACGTCATCAGCTACAGCGCTGGGATCAGCGCGTGCGAGGAGGGCGAGCAGTGGCAGCGGGCGCTTGCGCTGCTGAGCGAGATGCGGGAGGCGAAGCTGGAGCCCAACGTCATCAGCTACAGCGCTGGGATCAGCGCGTGCGAGAAGGGCGGGCAGTGGCAGCGGGCGCTTGCGCTGCTGAGCGAGATGCGGGAGGCGAAGCTGGAGCCCGACGTCATCAGCTACAACGCTGGGATCAGCGCGTGCGAGAAGGGCAAGCAGTGGCAGCCGGCGCTTGCGCTGCTGAGCGAGATGCGGGAGGCGAAGCTGGAGCCCGACGTTATCAGCTACAACGCTGCGATCTGCACGAGTGAGAGATGCAGCCAGTGGCGGCATGCATTTTCGCTGCTCAGAGTGATGCGGGAACGCCATGTGGAGACGAACGATATCAGTTACAATTTATGCATCACGGCGTATGAGAGGTCGTCTCGCAACTTGGCAGGCTTGTCCTGCTATCGTTGTATCGGCCTTTCCCGTTTTCGAGTGTCTTGCGAGGCACTGTCCGTGTGGGAACCTGCTGGGGAACCATTGTGATCACGTGGGCGAACATCCGTATTTTGAAATTGGCAGCAGTGTTCCGTCGCGCAGGAAGCCGCTTCGGATACCATTACGTGGATCCGCCCTGGTTGGCTACAGCACTGAGATCAGCACTTGTGATAGAGGCGTCCAGTGAAAGCGGGTCCTGCCGATGATCAGCGATCTGTTGATTGTGAAGCTGGAGTCCAATGGCGTCAGCTACAACGCTGGGATCAGCGCGTGCGAGAAGGGCGAGCAGTGGCAGCCGGCGCTTGCGCTGCTGAGCGAGATGTGGGAAGCTGGAGCCCAACGTCATCAGCTACAACGCTGGGATCAGCGCGTGCGAGAAGGGCGAGCAGTGGCAGCCGGCGCTTGCGCTGCTGAGCGAGATGTGGGAAGCTGGAACCCAACGTCAGCCTAGGACCTCCCTGCAGCCCCTCGGCCAACGAAGACGGCTGCAGGGAGGGGTCCAAACGTACCTCCACCTTCATGCACCAGTCAACCAATACACCAGAAAACCAACTCCTCATATTCCTCCTCCTCTTTCTCCTTCTCCTCCTCCTCCTCCTCCTCCTCTCCTCCTCCTCCTCCTCCTCCTCCTCCTCCTCCTCCTCCTCCTCCTCCTCCTCCTCCTCCTCCTCCTCCTCCTCCTCCTCCCTGCCTCTTCCCTGCACCCCTCGCAGCGCCTCCAGCGCGGCCCCCAGGCGTCTCTGGCGCGGCCTCCGGCGTGGCCTAAGCCAGGGACAGGGGGGCTAGCTATTCCAAACCTCACACCAGTTGGGGGGGGTCAAAAAAGTGTTTGACGGCCCGTCTGGGACCCCTCCCAAGAACGGTGCAACCGCACCCAAGTCCAGACCTTTCAGAAGCATCTCTCGACGTTTCGGTCTAGACCCTCCCCCAAGAGAAGCGGTTGGGCATAAATCGTTGGATCCCCCCACATTGTCATGAGATCCAGAGTACACGTACACTGGGGCCCATGCCAAGAAACGCCCAGCTTGCCTCCAGGGTGCCCTGGATATATTAGGTTTCGACGGTTTTGCCATGGAAAGCGCGACGCTCCCATACCAAAACTCGATGGGCGCCCTGGGGTCTCAGCGCTGGGTTTCTTGTGGAAGGTTTCTTGTGCTCGGGCCTCCACTGTAAGAGTGACCCTTCGCCGGAGGGACCTCTCGTGCGCGGGTTCTCGGGCGCCGCGAGGTGAGGAGAGGGGGGCTGGAGGAGGAGGAGGAGGCGGAGGAGGAGGAGGAGGAGGAGAAGAAGAAGACGAGGAGGAGGAGGAGGAGGGGGAGGAGGAGGAGGAGGAGGAGGAGAAGGAGGAGGAGAAGGAGGAGGAGGAGGAGGAGGAGGAGGAGGAGGAATGGGCACGTCGAATATGAAGCAGGCCTGCCAGCAGGTGCCCCCCAGACATCTTGTCTTCCCCGATGGCCTTCTGGGCCTCCAGCGGAGCCCCGTGGGACCCCTGGGCCTCTTGCAGGAAGGGTTCTTACGCTTTTAATGAGAAGCTAAAAGTTCTCATACCTCCAAGCACAAGTTGCAACGAACGTCTCACCCTGTTGCGAGATAGATCGACCCTCAAGGCTTCTGGGCCATTGCTGCCAGGAAGGTTTCGCATTCTGAGGGTCACGCTTGCGCTCCCCTGGCGCTGCAAGTTAGCCGACGACGTGCGCCGGCGATGGCGGAGGCGACGACGTCGGCGACAGCGACGGCGACGGCGACGGCGAGAGCGGCGCCAACGGCGACGGCGTCGGCGCGGCGGCGGCGGCCCCCTCCACACTTCTCTGCCCTCCAGCCCCGTCCGCCCCCTGCCGCGCCGCCGCACGAAGGGGGGGGGGGGCGCCTGCGTGGAGCCGGAGGGGCGGGAAGGGGGCAGCGCGACGCCCTGGTTCTGGATCAGCGGGGTGGGGAGGGGGGCCTTCCCCCCCCCCCCTGCCCTCCCCTTCCCATCCCCCTCCCCCCCCCTCGTGGGTCGCGGTGGTTGCGAGGGTCGTCGTCGTGGTCGTCGTCGTCGTCGTCGAGGCCGTCGTCGTCGTCGTCGTCGTGGTGGTCGCTGCTGTCCGAGGGCGGCGAGCCGCGGGCACGCCCCCGAGGACCCCGCCGCCGAGGAGCGGGGGCTCCAGCGCGCGCTCGCGCGCGCGGTCGCCGCGCGGCCGCCTGCCTGCCGCCAGCCTGCCGCCAGCCTGCCGCCGCCTGCCGCCGATGAATGCTCCAAGGGGGCCTGCTGGCGGGAGCGATGATGCACAGGCAGGAAAGGTGACGACTGAGCAGCGCAGGGACGACCTGACACCTGCCACCATCAACCAGCTGCAGACCGTAATTATGGGACGAGCGGGCGTTGCCGCGCAGAGGGCTGAAGGCTTACGCTGAAATGTCTGCCGCCTTCGCGGCGTTGGCCAGAGGCGGGCAGCCTTTCCCCAGTTGAGTCGTGCTCTCGTTGCACGACGCGGGTGTTGGGCGTGCGCGCTTTTTGATAGTAAATTTACACGCGCTGGGTGTACGGCACGGGTGCTGCGAGTGCGCCTTTCAACTCGCTTGTTTTTTTTTGTATTTCAATCCAGCTGATAAGTGGGATGCCAGCATCGGCAGAAGAGCAACAGGCAGGCTGCCGAATCGTCCGCAAAAGATGTGGGCTCTGTGTACCCTTCCCCGTAGCCGAGACGATTAATGTTGACGGCTCCGCTGATTGCGCGCACTCGTTTGACTTTTTGGGCAGTCTGGCTCCGATCGGCTTGCCATTATATTGTGTCGCAGAGGCTTTTGGCATGTTTGCCTGACGACGCCGTCGGGATGGGTTCCCTTGAGCGCTGTGACTTTATCGGGGACAATATTGTGGCGCTACTTCTGCGATGGGAGCGCTTCCAAGTGTCACGTCACATGAAGCCTCTGGAGCGCCTGACAAAAACCGCAGCGCCTGACAAAACAAAAAACGATGCCCGCCAGCGTGGGCCCGAAAAACTACGCGTGGTGCCAGCGCTGCGGGGCAGGCAGCGCGGTGTAGGCTGCGCATGGCGCAGACTCCGTGGCGTCAGCGACGTGGCGACAGCTGCGCAGTGCAGGCTGTGCGGCGCAGGCTGCGCGGCGCGAGCACCGTGACGCAAGCCACGCGAGGCAGCCGGCACGGGGCGCCCGCGAGGCGCCCGCGGCCGCCCACCGGGCGAGACCTGGGTAGACCCGGCCGGCGCACGGGGGCGAGCCCGCGGGGTGTGCCCGCGGCCGCCCACCGGGCGAAGCCTGAGCGGACCCGGCCAGACTCGAGAGAGCATTCCTGGGGCAGCTGGGAATCTCGGCCAGAAGCTGGCCACGCATTCGTGTGCCTCACGCCCCCCTCCTCCTCCTCCTCCTCCTCCTCCTCCTCCTTCTCCTCCTCCTCCTCCTCCTCCTCCTCCTCCTCCTCCCTCCTCCTCCTCCTCCTCCTCCTCCTCCTCCCTCCTCCTCCCTCTCCCCTCCTCCTTTCCTCCTCCTCCTCCTCCTCCTCCTCCTCCTCCTTCCTCCTCCTCTCCTCTTTCCTCCCCTTCCTCCTCCTCCTCCTCCTCCTCCTCCTCCTCCTCCTCCTCCTCCTCCTCCTCCTCTTGATCCACGTAGCCGGCGCAGCGTTTCACTCTCCATTTCGCGTCGCCAGACTCGAGAGAGCATTCCTGGGGCAGCTGGGAGTCTCGGCCAGAAGCTGGCCACGCACTTGTGTTCCTCACCCCCCTCCTCCTCCTCCTCCTCCTCCTCCTCCTCCTCCCCTCCTCCTCCTCCTCCTCCTCCTCCCCTCCTCCCCCTCCTCCCTTCTTCTGATTCCTCCTCTCCTCCTCCTCCTTCCTCCTCCTCCTCCCTCCTCTTCCTCCTCCTCCTCCTCCCCCTCCTCCTCCTCCTCCTCCTCCTCCTCCTCCTCCTCTTGATCCACGTAGCCGGCGCAGCGTTTCATTCTCCATTTCGCGTCGCTGCTTGAGATTGTGTTCCTGCTCACGCGCCAAACGGCGTATGGCTTGTCAGTGTCGGTGTCAGTGGGAATCTCGGCCATCAGCTGGCCACACATTCGTTCGGCAGAAGTGAGACGTCCCCGGAGGGATCTCGACGAGGCATCACTGCTGGAACATCGGGGGGCCTCGTAGACATCCGAGGCCAGCACCAAACAAAATGTGTTCTGAGAATTTCGAGCAGGAGGAGGAGATGGAGACAGAGGAGGGTGAGGTGGAGGAGGAGGAGGAGGAGGAGGAGGACGACGAGGTTCGAACGGGGAAGCATTGACCTTGAAACTAGGTGCCCGGGCTTTGCTCAGAGTGTGCCTGGACCAGCTCGGGTGCACAGTTTTCGTCTGTAGATGATCAGGACCACAGTCTGAAGCTAGGGTGCGATGTTTCGTCTCAATCTTAGGGCTGCTTGGCAGGTTTGGGGCATGGCCTGCTGCTGCTACTCCAGGAAGAAGGGAGGGGGAGGAGGACGAGGAGGAGCAGAGGGTCGAACCCAAAAAACAAGTCGTACCTGTACGACCACCGTGCGGGTGATAATGAGGTTGTGTGGGAAGGTGGGGGGGGGACGGAACCACTGTCTTTTTCAATCGATCTCACCACCGATCTCACCATCGATCTCGCTACCGCCCTCCCTATCGACCTCACGATCGGTATCACTATCGACTTCACTCGATCGATCTCACTCTATAAATCTAGCTCTATCGATCTCACTCGACCGATCTCGCTCTATCGATCCCAGTCTGGCGCAGAGGCGCACGCCGCCCGCGGACAGTGGCAGCGGGGAGGTGCATGTCGCGCCCGCCGCTGTGGACACCAACGGGACACCACGGCGGGACACCACGGCGGGACACCACGGCGGGACACCGTGGCGGGACACCCCCGGCCACGCCGGCCCACCGGAGGGGCGATGTTTTATCATACCCCGCCCTAGCCTCGGCGGGGTCATTCCTCTCGCCCGCCCACTCCGCTTCGCCTCGCGCGCACGGCACGAGCCCGAGACCGAAACCGGATTCCCGGAGGGAGGCTCCCCGTTCCCCAACCTCGGAGTCATGAGATGTTGGGGGTCCACGCGGATTTGTTTAGATCTGCGCTTGACCACGCTAAGTCTGCCACCAGCCAGCGTGCAAAAAGACACGAATGTGGTGACTGGAGAGAATCGAGAGCGCGAATGCCCGCTGGCCTTGCCTTCGGACTGCGTCATTGAGGCCACTGCCTCGCGACGGAGGCAATCCCTGGCGCGCGGACTAGGGAGAGGGGGTCGGGCGCCGATCCAAGACATTCGCGCGGACACCCGAAAGTGTGTGTTTATGCAGTTCTTCTTCCTCGACGAGGGAGGGGGAGGAGGAGGAGGAGGAGGAGGAGGAGGAGGAGGAGGAGGAGGAGGAAGAGGAGGAGGAGGAGGAGGAGGAGGAGGAGGAGGAGGAGGAGGAGGAGGAGGAGGAGGAGAGGCGGAGGAGGAGGAGGAGGAGGAGGAGGAGCGGAGGAGGAGGAGGCGGAGGAGGAGGAGGAGGCGGGGAGGAGGAGGAGGAGGAGGAGGAGCGGAGGAGAGGAGAGGCGGAGG